AGTACTAATAGCATACTGGATAATCACACCTTACTGAGATGTCAAGAACGACAAGGAACGTTTATTTTTTCCAGCCTGGATTCCAAGGTCTCTTTCCACCATAGTGGCTCACTCAATAATGGAAGTACTATAAACTCCATGACGTGCAGGTTCAATGCGCCATTTCCGGGGGACATTCATGAGTTTCCAAACATAGACTTCACGTGAGCCGGCAAACGTCAAAGAATTAGTCAAGTCACATTTATTTATATAGATGTTTTCAGAATATTAAATGTCCCCAACTAAGCAAGCCAAAAGCAAGGCAACAGTGGCAAGGAACCAAAACTCCATCAGGTGATTGGATGGAGAAAAAACCTTGGGAGAACCCAGGCTCAGTCGGGGCCCAGTTCTCCTCTGCCTAACATACATATTGTTTCAAAGTAGATTAGCTTGATATAGGCTATGTGCACAACCGTAGTTTCGAACTTCCGCTTTTGTCAGAAGTTGGCGTATTAGTTTCCGGTCTACGACTGGCCATCCGCATCCACTAATAAACAAAAAAGATGAGTGCTGCTGTTGTACGAAAAAAAGAGTTTTTAAACACATCTAAGTTCCTAAGAACTGTAGTGGATCTAACGTCCGTTTCACACCCGTTTGCAGTGTGTGTTGCGGTGCAAGAGCGTGCTGTTAGTGCGTTCACATATTATGATGCGTTTTACACAGTGAATAACTGATCCGCGGCTGTACAACAAACACATACTTAATATTTTTATTTAAATTCCAGAAGTTATGCTGCAACTTATTTTTAAAAACAAAAAGTTGTGTCAGCATTGCGATTCTTAGTATGCACGTTTAAACACAATCTAAACAATGTAAGTTACTCCATGCATTACAAGTTGCTCAAGCAAGTGGTCAAATATTTCCTATATTAAAATCGCAAATAATTTAAATTAAAACTTGAAATTGACAAAAGCAGCCGACTTGCCTTTTCATTTGCATCTTAATTTTAAAACAATAGATCTTGCATGTCACAAAACATTTTTCCACCTCCACGATCGAGACGAGTTCATTTCTGTCGCCTGGTTGAAGTAAATTGTAGTTTTCCTTGATTAAATGTGCATTTATGGTGAGATTACTACATTTTATTTAATTAAACACATTTATGGTGAAATTACTACATTTTCAGGTTAATCATTTTGACCACCAGTGTTTGCAGCACAGCAGAAATAGATTCGGTGTGGAAACGATCGCTGTGCTGCTGTTATATGTACCACACCAGTGAAAAGTGAAAGCCCTAACCTGTTTACATGGTGCGTAGGAGACTGCTGTGTGGCGTTTGCTCTGCTTAAAGTCGCTAACAGCCATTTGAGCTTCTACTGCTTCCTGATAAACACCAACCTTCGTGCGCAGTGGCTGCACAAAATAGATTGACGCGCAAAAAATAATAAAAATATTAAGTATGTGTTTGTTGTACAGCCGCGGATCAGTTATTCACTGTGCAAACGCATCATAATATGTGAACGCACTAACAGCACGCTCCTGCACCGCAACACACACTGCAAACGGGTGTGTTTAAGAACTCTTTTTTTCATACAACAGCAGCACTCATCTTCTTTGTTTATTAGTGGATGCGGATGACCAGTCGTAGACCGGAAACTGATACGCCAACTTCTGACAAAAGCGGAAGTTCGAAACTACGGTTGTGCACATAGCCTATTAGCTTGAGAATTAGCATGTGTGATAACATGCAGAGACGATGAGAGTTCATGTGAGGAAAGAAAGAAAGAAAGAAAGAAAGAAAGAAAGAAAGAAAGAAAGAAAGAAAGAAAGAAAGAAAGAAAGACTGTCACAGGTAATCACAGCGATTCTGTCCATTTCAAGCTCAGTCACTGTCATCGCAATCAGCGCACAATCAAACTGTCAGAGCCGCCACACGACTGAGAATGACAGAGGAACTCAAAAACATGACACTTCTGTCACACTGCTCTTTCCTTTATAGCAGTCGCATGGAGAAACATTCAAAAACTGATTGAAAAAAAAACCCTCATTGTTCTCTGCCAAAGACAGAGAGTCAACTCCAGCAAAATGAGGCACTGACTTCTTCGCCAGTTTTAGGAAACTGCTCAACTGCGGAAGGCCCCTTAGTAACGGACAGTTTTTCACAATCGCCCTCCCGGGAACTCGATGTGAAGCCTTGAGTGGGCTCCGGTAACTCATGAAAGAGCGTTCAGGACGGATGATGAAAACTTAGCAGAGGTGGAGGAGGAAGTATGCAGATATTAAAGACAGGAAATTGACGCTGGGCATTAGGTTTTGCTGAGAGAAATCACAGCCGGCCGTCTGCAAAACCAATCAAAAGCAAACAGTGCAAACAGTGTGGGAGCTCGATGACAGATGAGGACAATGAGACTGCAGATCAGCATTGGTGAAGAGATTGGGATGTTTTTTGCAACTCAGGTTATAGTGTAAACAATAATGCACAAATAGAATAAACATTTTTGATGTTGGTGTCAGGCACATGGAGTGAGTGACAGTAGGTGGAGACTTGTGTCATGTCAATGGAATCAAGAAATCAAATTGTCGCTGAAGGAAAAAAAAATGTAATTTCCATTTGACACTGTATTTATGTAGAGGTGTATAATCATTTAAAAAAGTGATTAAAAACCTTAAAGCAATAGTTCACCCAAAAAAATAAAATTCTGTCATCATTTACTAGTTCAGACTGTCAGTCCAAATCCAATTTTTAGCACAAATCAGATTTAGAGTGTGAACGGTTAAAAATCACATGAAATCCAATCTTTACAAAATCCGTTTCAACCTATATTCATATGTGGTTTGAAATCCTACGCATTGAAATCGCATTTCAGGAAAACAGTCTCAGTCTGAACGATCTCATCTGATTTTGCGTGGTTTACGTACCACGAGTAAGTCACGTAAAACATCAGACGTTGTTATAGGAAGCAATCCATCTGAATTGAGTGGACTAGTCAAAACTTTCTGAAGAGACTTGATCGCTTTATATGATGAACATTTAATTTAGACAGTGGTAAACGGAGGCTCAAGCATGTTCGCTTGACGTGTGAGAACCAATGAGGTTCATTCTCGTGTTATGCAGCACATTTGAGCTTCAGCAAGAACCAATGAGGTTCATTCTTGTGTTACGCAGTGAGTTTGAGCTTCAGCAAGAACCAATGAGGTTCATTCTTGTGTTACGCAGCACATTTGAGCTTCAGCAAGAACCAATGAGATTCATTCTTGTGTTACGCAGCGAGTTTCGGCTTCTGCAAGAACCAGTGAGGTTCACGTTTGAGCTTGCTCAACCAACAGAAGGTGCTAAATGTAACTTTTTTTCTAAAACGAATCCCATGTTTAATACCTGTGTGTGAAGGGGTTGTAATCACACATTACAAGGATCCACTTGCCGGGTTTTGCTATTACCTCTGCAGGCCAGTATTCCTATTTTTATGTGAAGTCTCCGGGTGGCGGGTGCTTTAGGATGTAACTTTTATTTTATGTACTAGATCTACTGTCTGACGTAACTCATCCCACTACTATCATATTGTATCCCACTACTATCATCCCACTAGTTTCAATTTTAAAAGTCTACGCTGCACGTGGCCGGACTGATGACCAAATGTGGGACATTTTACTGAAAATTCAAATATAGCTCAACACGGTGCACCTTGGAATATGGGCCAGTAAACACATTTTTATCTGGTATTCAGATGGATAGTCTGAAGACTAAACAGCTATTTCGGTCTTAAATATAACAGATAGCTGCAGCATTTCTCTGACCTTGAGCGAGCCACAACAGGGAGCCCGAAGATATTATAGGACTTTACGACTGTCCTCATTGACTAATACCCGTCCTCTAAACCACTATGGGGTCTGGAAAACTGGCAGTCAGTGCATTTCACAATGATAATGAGTGACCATGTAAAGCCACTTGTTCAATATACTCCCATATAGACAAAAATCTGCATGAAAAGGTTACGTGATTGATGACTGTCAAAACAGAACTTAAAAGGAAGATGATTCCTCTCTTGGCACCGTGACTGTAAACCTGAATAAGTCCTAATGAAGAACCAGACTGTAATAAAGTGATTTGTGTGTCCCATCTGTCAGTATTGGCAGAGCCATGTGTTTACACACAGTACACCCCTGAGACCGTCTAAATAATATGCAGAGTGACATATAAACACACTTTAATCAAATATAAGACATGTGAAATACTCTAAAACTAACATCATAGATTAAATAAATGGCTTTAGTTAATTGGATTCATATCAGAAAATGTGGTTAGCACACATTTTAATGAGCCTAATGAAGCTTCATGTAAGAAGTCAAATATTTTATTTAATATAGCTACTACATTTTTTTAAACTGACAAAAGTTGTTTCCAGTGTTGATCAGGTATAAATCATTCAGGTAAAAACTACATGCATTGATTTTTTTTTTTTTTTTTTTTTTTTTTTTTAAAGTCAACACATTAAAATTAAAAACTGAATTTCAAAATTCATAACCTGCTGCTCACTGCAGTTTTTCAACCACTTTGAATTTATTTATCTGTTAAATAATCAAATTGAAACTTAAAAGATATAAAATGCTGAGATAAACATTAACTAATATCAATAAACGCAGTTGAAGAAACGTTACATAGTCATGTTAACAAACAAAACCTGTAAAGCGTCACTACGACTAACCGTCACCTTATAGCAGTCAAGTTTTTTCATTTGTATTAGTCACTAGCCTATAGACTCAACCTCAGGTTGCTCCAGTCTCCAGGAGGAGTATTATTATCTGCAAATGTAAATTTAAAGACTAATAGAGTTCAGTGTAAGTTCTCTATGGGACAGTAACACACTTCCACTGTTCTCACGCTGACTGACTGAGGTTCCTCTAGCGCACGCACATCTCCGAAGGTGTGTGCGACGACACCATCAATATCTACCGGAGATCATTCGGATGAAGGTTTAATCTTTACACAACAAGCCGTCTCATAATAAGTGTCTGTCTCCTACCTTTCTTTTCCTGCGTCGCACAGAAGCTCCCTGAGAGCAGTAAGGTAAAAATCAATCCGAGCGCAGTTGGTCCTGCCATTTCTTATGTTTCAAACCTCTCAGACTTCACTTAAAGAGCTCTTCTTCCAGGGGGTTTCTAAATGTAGGCTACAGAGATCTTGCCTTCTCTTGGGAAAACTCGGTCGACTTGGCTTGTAAATTTTGACAACTCCTCCGCGCTCGCGAGCCTCGGCAGAGAAGAAGGTTTTTTGAGATGCGCCTCGCCTCGCCTGCAATGTAGTCGAGAGTAGGCGGCTTCAGAGGAGGAGTGACAAAAGCGCATTCAAGCCGGACAAATCTCGGTTCTCGCAGTGGATCAGACACCTGTGAGATCAAAGTCTGATACCAGGGGATTCACGCTCGTGCACGTGTTGGTCAGATATCTGGTGTTGCTAATAAACTGGATGTGATTTAAGTTCTGTTGCTTTTATATGAAAATAAATGAACAAGACACCCAAAGCACTTGTTATTTAATTAGCCTACATTCCAAATATGTGTTTATCACATATTTTATTTAATACAGACGTGTTTTTATATATTTTAATAAAAATCACATCACATAATAACCCATATGGCACTGTCAGAGAGTTTATTCACCCATATGTATACACATAAAAACAAAGATTTAAAAAAAAAAATTTAAAATCAAACATTTTAAAAGAGAACAATTCATCACTGTTGTTTTTTTTTTAATTATTTTTATTTATTTTATTTTTTATTAGAATGCAAGTTACAAACATACAAGCACCAAAATTCGTAAAACAAATATTATACAGCGACAAATAAATAAACATCCGAATAAAATTAATAATAAAAAAATCAAAATAAATCAAAATAAGCTTAGCTTAAATAGACAGACTTACAAACTTCATCATCTATAAAATGAGAGATATTTTCCTAATTTTCACTTGAACATTTAAGAGTATATTTGTGCTACTGACATAGCTTTCTTATTTTTAACCTGTTTAAGAGACTCACAATATATATCAGTTTCAATTTGAAAAAAATTAAAACATGGCCTTGATTTGGAGAATTTAGCGTTATGAATATAGAGCCTAAGTCCCGCCCCTCCGCTTCCAGCTCATGGGACCTTATTTCGGAAAAAATATGAATGGTTGTCAATGGCGAGAGACAACTTTTCTTTTTATTCCTTCTGAACTGTTCCCTCAATTACACATATGATGTTTGTCAATTTAAAAGATAATTCTGAAAGTCAAAAACGTCGCAGTTTGTCATACAACAGAAGAGTAACATTTAATTTTATGTGAAAATCGCTCTATGAACTACAACTCCCGGGAAGAGAAACGAGATCCGCTGCTCGTGTGTGTGCAGTCTGGTACAAAACACTCAGGTAGGACGGCGTATAACGTTACGATTATAACGTACGACTATAGAAACAATGACAGACAGCCTCAGTAAAGTTAGCTTCATTCATTGGGAGAAATTGTGCGCCTTTGGGGTTTGTAGTCTTATACCTCAAGGGTTTTACATCAAACTGCGACTTTCTTTACTTTAAAGCCACACTGCGGAACTTTTTGGCCACTAGATGGTGCTCGACATGTAATTTTCACATCCAGCGTCCCTAGAGGCCACAAGCTCCGCAGCACTGTCGCAAATTAAAGTCAACAAACAGTCAACCGGTCAGCCTCCCATGTCTTTAGATTGTGTGTGCTTGCGCTTTTACTGTCTATGGTGCTTGCAGTGTATGAGGCGGGCCGGGCAACCTTGCCGCGCTTGATTCCCTTATAGCAGCCGGCTGAGAGAGCGAGCGGGGTGATCCCCGTGGAGATTATCATGTCTGTGAGTGAATGTGGGCGCGGGACCGCGGACACATTCACTGCACTGAAAACACCATCGGCCAGAGCTGACTGTTATCCCAACCTGCAAGAATTCATTTCCGGGAGGTATATTTCGATAACAGAATTCTGGGTGTGGGAGGGTGGGCAAACTTTCGCGAGGCACACTCGCAAAGTCTCTCCCTCCGTAAAGTGCACGCGCAGCACGCTGTTATGCGCGCAGTATGTCTCGCTCTAGATTCCGGGAGTTTTTAACTAATTTGCGGGCATCAGGGAGACGCTATCAATATGCGGGAGACTCCCGGAACTTACGGGAGACTTGGGATGTGTTTTGGTTTATTTTTATAGCAACCGTGGGACATGTAGTGTGTAATGTTAGTGTTTGTGGGTACTACTGAGTCGTGGGGACGTTCACTACATTTAATGTATCGTTATTTGACATGAGCCGATTTTATTAGTGCGAGCCCTGCACTGACGCGGGCTATTTGTAGAAATGAACACTGGGCTGTGGGCATTTTATTACACTCATAACACCATCGGCTTTGTGTGCAGGCAAGCGTCCGCATCGGTCGAGCACTCTTTCTCCTCCGTAATCTCACGCCAGCGAGGGAAACGAAAGCTGGACCAATGTGTTAATCCTAGTCCTGGCTTTTAATTTGTCACTCTCACCTTTTCTTTTTTTAGTTTCCTCTGATAAAACCGTTGCCTTCTTCCTTGTAGCTGTTGTTCGGCATGACGAAAACATACAGACGGCAGTCAAACGCGAGTTGAGCACTAGCGTTAGATTCTGAGGAAGTTGTGGGTGGTGGGGGAAGTGACGTATGCCATAAAGCAGTCGAATTTTGTAGTTGTTTTTATGCTCGGGTTCCTACCCGAAACCCGAAGTTACAAAGTGCAAGTAAAAGCGATACAGACACCTTCAGGAGACGGCAGACGCGTCATTCAACCTATTGCAAGTCGATCTACCATCTCAATGGGTTTTGGTAATATATTATAAAGGTTGAAGAGTTCCACGGTGTGGCTTTAAAATGTATCTTTTAAATTGACAAACATCACATGTGTAATTCAGGGCACAATTCAAACGAGATCAAAATATTTGTTGTCTCTCGCCATTGACTACCATTCAATATTTTTACGAAATAAGGTCCCATGGTGGTCGACTGGAAGAGGAGGGACTTAGGCTCTCTATATGGAATCACTGTTGTTTAAACCAATGAGCATTAAGCTGTGTCGTCAGCAAGTCGTTTCCCATCATGCTTTTGATCAGCGCAGTCGGTGGAGAGCAACCGACTGCAAGCGACTGCAGAATCCGACCCTTTCGCCTTGCGCTCGCGAGAGTTTTTTGACATACGTCGGCATGACATCAGAGCCAGGCGGACCGCTCTCGGACACATTTATAACCGGGCAAGGCGCACCTGTCGGATTCTGCAAAAAAAAATAAAAAAAAATAAAAAATAGATTAAAAAAAACACATTTCTAACCGGCATGCATCTCGCGCTGATCACCGGTGATCGATTCTGCGCAGAATTTGCTCATCTCAAACAAGCCTTCACGCGCTGCCGGACAGAGCTGCTCTCGCGCTCCTGACGTCAGCTGCGGGGAGGATCGTGCCCGTGCAGTTCAGACGGTGTGCTTCAGGTAGAGGCTGCTACAGTACTTTTTGATCGGAGATTTTGTGACATATTAATTTACTCTACCCCTTATTTACTCACACTCTAGCCATCCTATATGTAAATGACTTCTTTCTTTTCTTTCTTTCTTTAAGCTAACACCTGGGATTACAATAACTTTTGCAATTCCTAGTCACCTCAGTGATCATGTATGATATTGAGTTCACCCGTTTATTTATACCATTTGAAATACCCTCAACCTATGCTTATGTGTCCCAGTTTCAAAAGGACTCCAAAAATTCCCAGATTTGCCGTTATACTAATCAAGTCTAATTGGCACGTTTGTAATCAAAAGTTAGGGATTTAATAGGAACTCCAACATCTCTTGTCCAGGACCATATTATCTGAACTGTTCTTCTATCCATATTAATTGTATTGTTCTATAGTCTTACTTTATGGCGGATTAATAGGAGAATAAAATACAGGCTTGATTTTGGACACATGAAAGGCGGGACAAATTCTCCTGTACGCTGGAGGAAGTTTGAGTGGGACTGCCACCGGACTAAAAATCTTGGTGACAGGGAACAGGCCAATAAACTTATAGGAAACAGAGCGGAGCGGAATGTTTTTGGTAGAAAGCCACACCTTTTGACCCACAACGTATACGGGAGGCTTTGACGCCTTGGCCTTCATGCGCCTCCCCACTTGGAGCAAAGTCTCCCGGGCTCTGGGCCACGTACGGTGACACCTCTGGGCAAATGCGTGGGCGGAGGGAGCCACGACCTCGGATTCCAGACTGGGAAAAATTGGTGGCTGGTAACCTACACTACACTTAAACGGAGAGAGGCCCGTTGATGACAGTGGTAACAAGTTATGAGCGTACTCAACCATAGAGAGTTGCTGGCTCCATGATGAAGGATTCTTAGCTACCAAACATCGTAACATTCTCTCCAAATCTTGGTTGGCTCGCTCGGACTGACCATTACTCTGGGGATGATAACCCGAAGATAGACTGACCGTAGCACCTAATAACTTACCTGGCTCAGGCCTGGATTGGTCAGACAAGGGTGCCGTCCTGTCCAGCAGCTGGTCAACATGTTGCCTGTGCATTTGCCCATCACAAGCTCTGACCTTGTATGACAGGGGACCTGTGACATCTACAATGATTCCAGGCATCCACTTAGAATCTCTGGTGTAGCTTCTCATGTACACCAAGTCCTTAGGTCTAAACTCTCTGACTGTGCCAGGGCATTTTTCAGCATTAAGCTCCTGTCTACGAAGCATATCACCATCATAGTCTGGGTGCAGACGATCCAGGGCCGTGGTGAGTTGCCGATTCATGAGCAACTTAGCAGGACTTTTTCCATTAGATGAATTGGGTGTGACGTGCTGTGACAACAAGAAACGGGCAAGCCTGGTCTGCTATTCGCCCTTGGTGATGTGAGACAGGGCCTCCTTGGTTGTCTGCACCATGCGTTCAGCTTGACCATTTGAACTTGGGTGGTATGGTGCTGTAGTGACATGTCAAATGCCGTTTCGCTCTGCAAACTCTTGGAATTCCACAGAAGTGAACGAAGCACCATTATCTGAGACTATGACGTCAGGCAAACCATGCGTTGCAAAAAGTAGCCTCAGTGCATGTGTTGATGACAGGTGATGATGACATGAAACTCATCAGAGACACCTCCAGCCACTTGCTATGTGCATCAACCACTATGAGAAATACTTTGCCCTGAAAAGGGCCTGCAAAGTCAATATGCAGCCGGGACCATCTTTTTGTCGTCCACTCCCAAGGGTGCACTTTTGCATTAGGTAGCAACATCTGACAGGTTTAACATGCCTGTACCATACCCGGGTGCGCGTCATGCAACA